GGAAAGATTAGTTTCAGAACTTGATATGAACTCAGTCTTCACACAAACATACCTTTTTCTTTTGACTTCCTGTCTTGTTCTCTCTCTCTGCTTTTGCTTCTGTGCTTGTAGGATTTCCGATCCCGACTTTTTGATCGTCTCCTGTCCCTGCTGCGAGACCTATGTTTTCTTTCTGATCTATCATGACTTCTGCTTCTTCTTCGGTCACGACTCCTTAACATTCCGAGAAAATTTCAAAGATGTAAATGTCAGCTGGTATTTTCTAACTCAGAAGATAAAATAGTAACACAGAAGCACTTTCTGATACATTGATTATTTGCAGAAAACAAGTATTTAAAACAAGCCTTAGCACACTGTATATAAATATTTCTCAGTACATAAGACTTGACTTAGTATTGCCTTCTTCATTTAAACCAACATTCGACCACACTGCTTAAAAATATCCACTGCTATGAAGACCATCTTACGGAAAAAACAAGACACTGTTCTTTGGGAGCATTTGTATACTCAAAGCCTCCTCATAAGACCACTTCCACTACAATGGTGTCGTCCACTTTAAAAATGGAGAGAAGATAGTGAACATGCAGAAAAACTTGTTTATCCTTAGAACCAGTAAAGAATGTCTTCACTTAGAGATAACAACAGTGAAGCTAACAAATCAGTGATGTGACCCCGGCTGATAAATGATGTCCCTGCAAGATTTTTACATTTTGGAAAGTTACATGAAAATACTCTCTCACACACACGTACCTGCTACGCCTTCTTTCTCTGCTTCTTGATCTTTTGTGGTCTCGTGAACGGCTGCATCTTCTGTCAGATGTTCTGCTCGAATGTCTACTCCGTGAACGACTCCTTTTACGCCGCTCTCTGTCACGAGCCCTCTCTTTTTCCTTTTCTTCTTCTTCACGTCGTCTCTTCCTTTCCCGCTCTTCTCTTTCCCGTTCCCTCTCTTTCTCTCTCTCTTCTCGTTCTTGTTTCTCTTTTTTTAACCTGTCATCACGGTCAGGTTCTTCTGTTCTTTTTCGTAACTTTTCCTTTAAAAAAAACAAACCACAGAAAGAAATTAAGATTAATCAAGATAAATCATTCAATATAACTTAGTTTACACATTCTGAGGATGTAGAAGCTTAAGCTTTTAAAATATTTCAGGGTGGTGGTTTTTTTCTAAACAAATCACTACCTAAAATTCCTGAAGTGGAAATCCTTTGTCTTGCAGAACTTTTTTTGCTTGCCATTCTCACAAGAACAGAGGCCACGCTACAGTTCTTTACAAAGGCCACAAAAAATTCCCACCTTAATTTACGTCTCTGCTTACATCTAGTGTGAGAAAGTCCACTGGATAGTTGTTAGTTTATCATAGGAAGTGTCTAAACAATGTTTATGTTCAATAACTGACGAGATGCTTACTTTTAAATCTTCTACAGTAGCTTTTATTTTGGCATAACCCATGTGCTGCTTTCCCATCAAGTGGTCATCTACCCTGGACTGTGCATCTCCTACAATTAAAAAGGCTCCACAAACTTCACAAACTTCCATTTGCTTTTCTTGGGCTGCAAAGCTCTCGATTGTCTGCAAAAGAAAAATATTTGATAAAGAAAAAGAAAAGTTTTAGCCAGAAGCCAGTGAAGATGTTTAGAACTTTACTGTTACTGTTGTCAAATCCTAGGCAGTAGTAAAAGCTGAAAATCCTAACAGCATGCTTTGTCTTCAGAGCACTGAACCTACTAGGATGAACAGGGTAAAAATAGGCTACGTATGCCCATTTCACACAAGCCACAAGGAAACAGTCTATTAGAAAACACACAAATCAAACCTTATTCTTCACGCAAAGGATGAATAGTATATAGCCATATCTGCAGCATCCTTGCAATCTCAGGATTAAGGAAAATAAAAATCAGTTTTCTCTTACGATAATTTCTTTGGCATGAACTGAAATGTTTGGAGCTGCAGAATAACCACGGAATATGTCTCAAAGGATGACAAGGCTAGAATATCCCATGAAGAAATACAAAAAGGAATGCTGGGCTACTATTTAAAAGGATGGTGGTGAAATTAATTCACTGTTTCAACAGACCAGAAATACACTGGAATTTCAACATAAACCTAAGTGATTATAGCAGTGCAATGTTCATGAATCACATGGTATGGACACAAACATTATTGCCTGCAACACTTAAGAACTTTTAAAAAATAAATCAGGAATCACAATTTGAGCTTATTATTAAACACTGAAATATAATGCTTAAACATAAGCTCCTTTTTGATGACAGGAACTTGCTACTTAACACATTACCTTTGGCTCTTAAGAGTCAGACAGGTGCCTGTCCCTAGTCAGAGCCCTAACACAGGGGCTTTCTGTAACACAGATTGGTAATTCAGTGATACAATATTGCAGAAGCTACATGGTAAAGTTTAATTGCGACCTGACCTATAGTAAGATGCAAACCCACCTCCAAGACTGTCACGTGAATAATGTCGTAATTTGTGTGCCTGAAACCCATGCTCAAGGTAGCATGCTACATCAACACACTGGAATAACACATTTAAATGTCGTGTTTTGTCTAATTCTGCACAGAACTTGCATGCCTCCAGTGAAAGAACAAGGTGATTAAGAATGTATTGTTGCACCCAATTTTTAAGTAAGTCTGACAGAACTACAAACACATTACTTACTGAAGTTGTAGACCTCAGCAATTCTCTCTCTTCCTTTAACTGTTCAACTAGTTTCATCATTCCTTGTGCTTCTTCCACCTTCCCTTCTGAACCTAGTTCTTCAATCTAAAGGACAATAAAAAAAATTTCAACTGTAATTTTTAATCAAGTAACAAAAGCAGAAGCTTTCTCTTACAGGGGGTAAAAAAACCTCACCTGTTGTAGAAGTACATCAATTTTGTCAGTTAACACCTGAATCTTCTCTTCATTTTTACCAGTGGGTCCCGCTCCCTGCCAAAGAGTATAAGTGTTTTGGGTTTATTTTGGTTTTGTTTTAGGCAAAATAACTTTAAAAAACACAAATATGTGTCTTCTCATATTGCAGAAACACTTCAGGAATAACCTCCTCCTGCCTCTTCTCCCACGAAGACCTACTAATAATAGTCTAGTCTAACGTAACACACTCAACACAGCTTACTCCACTCTTGCCGAGCGAAGCAAGTTCTAGTCACACTAATTCCTCCTAAATCAACAAAAACATTCAAGTCCCTGGCCCATAAAAGGAAGACATCTGAATGCAAAGTCCTAAATTTAAACTCTGAAACTGCCACGCAGCTATTACATAGCTTTGCAGACACTCAAGTCTGACTTAGAATTTCCAGGGGCTCTGAAATTTAACTTCTGAGCATAAATGCAAAAAGAATCTCACTTCATCCAAAATGTACTCGTTAGCAAAGTCCTCTCTGTAAGCTGCCAGAATAGACTTACACCTGCTTCCCCCACAACCTTTGCTCTACTCCACAGCCAATAAGCTCTCCTGACTAAGGATACTGTCCACAGCTCCTTCTGAAGCAACTGGACTTCGCACAGAACAATTACCTGGGGCAGCAAAAAGGAGCAAGGCTACCCTAGCAGCCTGAAACTCTCAGAGCACAGGCCACAGTCACTGCTCCAAATCAATGAGAGGATAACAATAAAAAAACCCCAGAAAATGAGGTAAACATGTACAATTTTTCTCCCAGTCAGTTTAAGCTTTTCATTAACAGCTGTCTAGTATGCAGCTTGGAACTGAGAAAACTTGCACAGAAGTATTTCCTTCTCAAACTTCCGTGATTCCATCACTGCCTGCCAGTGGTGGTGCTGGAGCAGAAAAAGGCTACTGCTTCAGTGTGGCATGTGACACAGGGATTTAGCTCCATCAGCTGCTGAATGACCTATTACTTGCCCACTTCAGTAACATCACTGTGATATAGCTTTCCAGTGGAGGGAAGGAGGAAAATGCAACTAAGGGAAAGAAGGTAAACTGAAGTTAACAGGGTAAAGACAACACTTAACAGGATTAAAGTTCCTGGGCAGAGAACAGGTACTGATTCAGAAGAAACAGAGATGGGGAGAACAGAGAGGGACTCTTGCTAACTGTAGAGCCACTTGGCTTGTCCATTAGGGCTACATGCAATCTGCTGGCTAACAGATGAAGAGACTTATCTAATGGGAACCTTCTGGAAAACAATGTATTTTACCCAAAAAGACAAGGTAAAGAGAACATGAAGACACTATCTAGGGGAAAAATTGCCTCAATGACTCTTCCAGACTCACCCCAGAAGACTGTTGATTTTGTGACAGTGCCAAACGAGCATGGCCTCTTCGAATCCTGCGTTCTACCTCTGCAAGTAAGCTTTGTAAATAGCGCAAGAAGTCTCTTTCGTAGCCCACTTTCATAAAACGAGAGCTCTTCTCATACCTGGTAAAATATTTGAGAAATGAAAGCCTATGTCAGTCCATAATATATGAAAAATAAATAATAAAACCTGCAATATTATAAATTCTTGCCCAAGGTAAGAAAATATTACAGATTTAAATAAATGTTTACATAAATCAAAAAGCAATTAGTTTCTCATGGTTGGGTTGCTTTTAGGAAATTTCAAGCATACTAGAAACATGATTTGCATTAACACATCAACCAACATACTTACTGTTTACGGAGATTTTCATCATGAATTTTTTCACAAGGACCTAAAAAGATCACACAAAAATTTTAAGCTTGCATTCTTGAATGCTGTATTCACACTCCATCAGCATTTGATGTGTGCCATGATAGAACAGAGCTATAAACACTTCCCAGTGGCTTTTATGCCTGCCTTTCTGCTTCCCTTGCTTGGAGTTTGAAAGACACATTAAAGAAAAAGAATGCCAATATGGTTTAGTAATTCTAAAACCAAAGGAGATTCTAAATGACATATGAAGTCTTCATATAAAAGAGAATTTCTAGATCACGTTCTTCATCAGTAAAACTGCACAAACAACATAATACCTTAAACATCCGGGGCCTTAAAAAAAAACCGAACAAAAAACCCCCACATATGACAGGTAATTTAATCAAGCACTTTCTAAGCTCCAGACAGTGTTCTTTGTAATAAAGAAATGGCTACTTAAAATGTTGACCTTCAGTGTAAAATTACGACGTATGTGGCCTGAGTTCATGATGATAGTCATGTTAAAATTCCCCACCTTCTCCAGCCTATCAAACTCCAATGGAGTTGGACATTAACACTAAGAAGCCTGTTTCCCCTCGTTACCATCTCCAAACTGCATTTGTCCACATACCATCTCTTGATAGCTCCTACTAATTTAAAGACGGCCTTCAGTAATAACTACTACAGTAAATGAGTTTCTAATGTAAAGAGGCTCAAAAATGTATACTCACACAAAAGTAAGTTAAAACCCTGCCCAGGTAGAATAAACCAAACTAGAAGCCAACACTTCGGGAGGAGAAAACCACCCCACACCCAATAATTTAGCTCACATTGTAAGAAAAAAAATATGTTTTTTTCACTTAGAGGAAGTAACAACTGGAATAAATATTGCTCTTAACATACTGTATCACTGGCAATCCTTTCAAAATAAAAAAGCCCATTTTCAAAGTGTTTTGACAGCATTAAAGAATAAAAACGTAGCTGCAAACAAAAGTTCAAATGTAATTACATGTAAGTGAATAAAAGTTACAAGACTTATAGACTTACCTAAATCAGAACGGGTATTTGTAAATAATTCAGCTGGGCAAAAGCCACAAAGGTAGTATTTACAAACCTGACAGAGGAGAAGAAAAAAAACAGGCATCGTTTTCTTCCTCATGAATTAGCAATTTTAGGTAATCACTTCTATCTTCTAAAATAGTGTAAAAATCAGCTTTGTACACTCCAAAATTTCTGAAAATTTTACACAGGTACACCCTCTATCTTTGTGTTACTTGGTAGCAGTAAGTGCATCTTAACGACAAAACACCAAAATTTTTACTTTCCATTGCAATAATGGTATTTCTTAATTATACTGCTAAATATTTAAGATTACAGAAACGCATCATATATTTGTAAAAAACAATATAGTGTTTGATATTTCCAGAGGAATTAAATTAGACTGCATTATTAATAAAGTTACTGTGAAATTCCTTAACTGTGAAAACCTATGAGGGGTGAGAATATCTGCGATGGAAGCATGAAAGCAAGTTCCTCTTAGCCTGTCTACAACAATTTTATGTTCAGCCTCTATTTCTTCAATGCTACTGGCTTGGAGATCAGAAGCCATCAGTGTTCAAATGTAAGGTACCACCTCAAGGATTCTGATGTCAATTAGAAGACTTAAGAACACAGAAGTTAGGAAAAAACCAACCTGGCAGCCTAGCCAGGAAATACTTAACATACGATGGGATAAAGCCAGCTTTTGTTAAAAAGATTATTCACCCTCACCCATTAGCACGGGCTTAGCTAGTCAAGTCGGTCAGTTCTTGAAGTTCATGCACAGAAATATCTCCTGTCAATCTGACAGAACAGCCAAAAAGATACAATCATCAATACTTTCACCCCTAACTTCATAAGCCATCTTAAGGAATTCTTCAGCAGACTCTTCCCCAGATGTGATTGCCATGAACTGTCAATCCAAAACTAGCCTGGGCATTCTTCTAATATCTCTTTTATGTTTCACCAGTTTCTGATATTTGGCAAATCTAATAATTGCTACTGCATATTACAACCTAGTTCTAATACTCTCACATATACTGTGGATGAAGATTTGCAACAGTATTTCATAAGATACATTTTGAAGTATTTTAACAAATGGGGGGAGGAGAGACACCCAAAACCTACCCCACACCGACACCTCACTGAAATGCCTGTGACACCAGTTGATCAAATTAGATCACTCTGATTTATTTTTCTATGCTGTCAGATTGCAAATCAGACTACAGAATTTAAAACTGGACTGACTGCTTTACAGAGTACACAGAAAAACAATCAAGCTTTCTACTAACAAGCCATGGATACAAAAAAATAATCAAAATAATATCTTTTATTATGTAATTTGAATACTTTTCCCATAATCCATGTTATGACACTGTGACACCTATCTGAAGCAATTTATCAGGAATAGTCAAGAAAGCGCCACACAAAATCACTTTTTTTTTTCTTCTCAGGAAGTAAGGAGACAGTTATTGGACAGGCTCTGGTTTCAGAATCTGCTCTCTCCTCTGAAAGCTGCAACATCCCTTCTTTTAATACCAAGTTATTTCAAGGGAGTAGTTTCTCGGATGAACTCCTGTACTAGTCAATAGAAATATAATTGCTCTCTACCTTCTCTTTCTCCTCCATTTTCTCATCCTCACATACGAGTATTAGAGTGAGTGAAAAGGCAGTTCCCCCCCAAAAATTCTGAGGATGGATTAGACAATTTCCTAAGACATAGAGAGCTCAATAATAACGGTCTGACCGTCTTGTGCTGTAAAAAGAGTTACAGAACATGTTCTGTCAAAAATTATGCAAACCGGCCTGTAACAGTTATGAAACAAGTAGCAAAGGAAAGTTATTACAGGCAGAAGTATGCAAAGGAAAAAAAAAACCCAAACCCAAAACACCACCAGAAATCATCCTAGCACTGCTAGGAAAAGCCTCCTCTTATGAGCTGATTGTTACAGCCAAAACCTGTAGTGACTAATACTAAAAAATGCAGCTTAAAGATGTGCTGCATATTGTATTAATTATTTTTATATATTAAAAAAACCCAACCAACCCAAACAAAAACAACAAAGCAAGAACAAAACCCACATGCACTAAAAGTTGCAGTAATTTTCTCCTAACTAGCTCTGGATGCCATGGTACCTAGTGAATTCCTTGACATGTTTTCCTAAGAGGCAGCCTGCAGAGAAATACTTATGTTAAAGTGGTTCAGACTAGCGTGTCTGCAGCAATTTTCTCCCTCTCTCACACCTATTTCATTATGCTCTTCAACTGCTTTTGCTTCAACAGAAAAACATTACTTGAGAGAATCTTGCAGCTATCTTAAAAGGTATCATTCTGGCTTAGCTTCACAGTGTGGTACATCTGCCTTGACAGGCTGTAGATGCCAGTCAGCTGCACTTACAGTCGGCCTTAAGTAATCAATGATGAGTAAGAATAGAAAGGGCCAAGAAATGGCTGAAGCATCACAGAGCCATTAAAGGACTGAAACAGAGGTGATATGCTTCAAATGGCATTACTCATCTGTGGCTTATCAGACTGCTGCACTTCGCAGAAGTCAGAAGAAATATGGAAATACATTCCATATTTGCAGAAACAGAGCAACAGGCAATTTAGTACGGCTATTTACCTATGCAGGTAACAAGCACTTATTCCTTTTTGCCAAATTATTCTGACGACTCCGCTACCAAGAAGGTGGAATAGAGTGGAACGTTACTGCCAAACTATTGCAGCAGGATAAGCCATAGCTTGTGTCTCAAAGCCATTAAGGTCCTGCATTTTGATAAGACACTAGAACAAATATGCATAGGCACTTGGAACTTTCCACTTCATCTCAAATTCACTAATCCTTGAAATCTCTTGGAGGTGGGAAAGTAGTATCCTTCACCTCAAAGCTGACTAAGCTGACAAGAATAATGGCTATCTCTTCCAGAGGTTGTGAACCAATTCAAAGCTTTCCCATATAAAGAAACTACTGACAGCTCTATACCGTTAATACATCCACATTAACATGTTCCTCTTCTGCAAGAAATTATTTACTGATGGAGAAGTATCAGAATAACTGTAATGACCAATTACATAAGCGAAGTCCTTCAGGCAGACAATTCCTAGTAAAAAGGCTGAGAATAAACCAGCAGGTCATGGCTTACACACAACAAAATAGAAAACTCCTTCACATAGATGAGTTCTTTGAAACCATTAAAGTTCATATGCAATCAGATGTTTCATGAGCAATGCCCACTCACCCAAAAGCAAACAAATATAAGCCCTTCTCCCAAACCCCACTCTTAGAGATAACCTTCCATTACTAATATTCTTCCAAAACAAGTAACACTTAAGTCGTCATCCCTCCCTTGTCACCTCCTGGAGGATTAAGTTTTGAGATTCTATCTAGGTGCAAACTAATTTAGGTCTTTGGCATGAAAAAAAAAAAGTGTAACACATCATAAATAGCTAATACCATCAAATCATAAACACAGAACCTACATTTTGAGAAACTGCATTCCTATCAGAGATAACCGCTCACCGTCATTTTTCCATAACAGCTCTCTAGCCCTCCCCACTTCCTGAAAGTGCTGCATTTACCTTGAAAGAACCATCACAGTCTCCAAGCCTTATACGAAGCATGGGTTGCCAATGCTGGGCTTTCTCCTGCTACAGAACAGCCTCAGAACTCTTATGCAATCACTGTTTTCACATTAACTTGATTTTGTATAGGTGGCATATTAAAGCAAGAATGCGTGAATCAATGAAGTTACTGTTCCAGAAATGTACTTTGTCTACGGCTATGACAGTAAGCAGAAAGACTAAAATATATGATACTAATATTTTTCTCCAGCATACAAACAGAAAAAGCCTTTATGCCAAAACTAGAATTGATCATCCAAGGACATGCTGCAATACTGAAATATACAGCAACTGGGATTTCAATTTTTCAAGATTAAAGGCTTTAATCATGCTGAAGTTTTAAAGTAAGAACATAAGCTCTACAAAAGGCTTTATAATATATGATCAACCTGTTTCAACAAATGCTCAGTTATTGCACACTTCACTTCCACACCTTCAAAACAACCTACTCCTATCTTGTATTTCCTTGCATCTTCCATGTATTTTTTTGATATCTACCTAGGTGCAACTTACAAATTATAAAGAAAATAGATATGAGCTTGTTTTGATAACCTTGCACATCTAGAACTGATGAAATGCGACACAAAATCCTAAACTTTGGTATGAGTACAATACGCTTACATTGGAAGGGCTACATGTTGATATAGGTCTAATTTTACAAAAGATGACATTAGCATATGCATTTCATCTGAAAAGCAAAACAGCAGTCAAGCAAATTAATTAACGTTACTATTTGAACCTTATCTGCATTTCCTGTCTTAAAACATGTCAGCATTGGAAATTTAATCTTTAGGTGATGCAGGAAGTCAAACTGAAACATATCTTTATGTTTAAACAGCGACAAATTTTTTTACTGAACTCATCAGTTGACTATAAGAATCTATGAAAACATTCCTTTCAGGGAGACGGCATTTAATTATGATCCTATAAACTTCATAAATAAAAGCAGAAACAGAGCAAACAGCAGCAGCTCCTGCAAGACTGAAGGCTCAACCTTAAGCCCATAAATTTCCCACTGGCCCCAGACACAGGACAGCTCTCCACTTTCTAAATTGTCAAAGGAGGACTGGGAAGAAGAGACAAGGCCCTGTTTCTGAAACAACAAAACTGAACAACAGCTTCAAGACAGATTCCTATGGTTACAGACAATCTCTTCAGCCTAAATTGAAAAATTTATTCATTTGAAGATGAAGAAAGTAATCTGAACTTGATTAAAGAGAATGAGGCAACTCCACCACACCCCCCAATCTTTGTCACCTTAAGAAATAAACCTAAACAATCCCCTTATCTATTCTACCCGGACCAACACAGTTCAAGCCATTTACTCCATACTTCCAAAGATGAACAACTCCTTATTTTGCATTCAGAATCAAAAGAAAATATGTAACTGAACACCTAACTGAACAATGATATTTAGTTAATAAGAGAAGTCTAGAAAGACATTAAGGTC